ACGTATTTTCCTGTTGTAAACTACTTACTTATTATAAGTTTAATGTTATACAGAAAGTTGATTACCAATGGAAGATCCGAACGAGGTAAATTAAAGACATAAATGCACTCGTAAAAGTTACCGCAAAGCTATAATCTGAATTAATTAAATAATTATACATTATATAATTGATACACATTCTAATTAAAATATTTCCCGGATCTTACCGCAAACACATCTGACAATAAATATAAATTATTGGATTATGAAACAATTAATTATGTAATTAGCAATCAGTAACGGATTTCGACAATTTTCTCATTAAAGAATAAGGAAAATTAACGACAAATTATAATTAATATATTCGTATATATATAAAGTGCATTATTAATGCTTAGATACGATAGAAAGATTTTATAAATCTGTGGAAAAGGATAAATATGATCTTAAGTTTTAATTAATAGTTTTTTATGTTATAGGTCTATCTTCCTTTTAAGTAGAAAAGCTTCGTACACCAATTCAATATCTTCAAGTTAGAGTACCTATTGACCTGGCATCTCTGTAGTTTATTGTGACGTACGCGGTATCTACAGGAAGTTCACTATTTTTTTTATATAACACCTTCAAATGGCGCCTAGGGTTTTGAGGCTAAGAATGGTGGGTTTTTAAAGGAGCATTCTTTCAGCATCTATGGCCCAATTAAAAACCTCCTCCGGAACAGGAAATTTATCTAGAGATGTTTAAATAAATACCAGGTCAACTCAACTCTAAAACTTACATGTATAGTAAACATTTTAACAGTTAGTTCGCAAAGAGGATTAGTTGATTGGAATTAGTTATGAAACCCTAGGCCCTACCTTCAAATAATAGGTACCTATTTGCGTTCCGTGAGAACCAAGATAGTTAAACTAGGTGACGAACAGATGGAATAAATTGTTCAGAACTAAACTAGTTATGCAGATTGACGTGGGCGATAGACTCGATGCTGCACCCTAGGACACGATCATTGTGCGCAATTATAAAATCTCATTGTTCGACCATATTCGAAATAATAATTCTAATTAGTAATTGTTGCAAAAACGGTATAAGTATGTTCAATCTGCTTCTGAAGTTTTGATTTTAGAATTTTTTGTGAGACCTTTAGTGATTTTTTCCCAATTTTTAAAGGAGAATAGAAAGGCCTTTGAATTGCTCAACAGTCCAAGAATTGAGAGTAGGTACCTACCTACCCATTCAGATGTCATTAAACTTTTAGTAGGAGACAGTAACAATTGCCCCATTTCTGTCCATTTACAAACACTTCAGTACTCTGTCAAATCAAAGGCATTTGATATTTTGTTATTAACTAGAACATAGGTAGTTAATTGGTCTAACATTTCTCAGAACGGACGCACTAATTGAATTCAATTATCAGTACTATTTCGTTGTCACAAGGTTTCTAATTGCGTTCAATCGAAACAATTAAATGTGACGAAGAAAATCTAAATCACTCACTTAGAATTCAGTATTTACTTTCCATAGTACAACAAGTTATTATACATACTTAGGTAAGTGTGGGTGAGTAGGTACTTGTTGTTCTTCTACGGGAAAACTACCGAATGGATTTAGTTGAAAATTGGCACTTTAATAGATTAAAGTCAGAAATATCACAGGCCACTTTTCAATGAGGCATCACGGGTGAAGTTGCTGACAAAATCTAGTAGTATCTATTAATTTATCCGCTGAAAAAAGTTGTCTTAGAAGTTAAAGAGTGAGAGTGTCGTAGGTATATTTATTTGAAACTCATAGACACATTTTACCCGTATGTAGGTACTTCTTACTAGATTTTAGACAAACCCTTCATAATTAGATAAAACAATCAACAAACAAAGCAAATTTAATAATGTTAACAAAAACAAAAATTGCAACAAAATAAATCACAGAGAGAATAAAATAAGATAATGGTTGATGGACGCGTGCATTTAATTGGACATAACGGAATCGAAGTCCGGAACAGTGTGCAGCGAGCAGAACACGTATCGGATGCCATACGCCGCGCATCATGATCTGTGATACATATTGCTTGCGCCTGAGTTGAGCGCGTTACTCAGAGTATCCGTGAAAAAGTAAGAACTGGCCACTTCGCCCCACTTTATCAACAACTCATAAATACTCGTCGATAATTATTTTTAAAGAAAGTTATTGGTATGGTATTCCGATCCAAGTATTCGCTAAAAACTGTGAAAAGAATGTTAATGATCATGTTCAGTGATCATGCTGTTTCATTGGGATTGTTTAATAACTATTGTCGCTCTAGCACCGTTTTCGCAACACTAATTTAGTTTGAAAAGAGAAATGATTAGGTATTGTGTTTACATTACAAAAATTAAGTTGAATAATAATTGAACGAATGGGAGAACTGAAGATGTATCTTATTGGTGTCCTGGAAACTGGAGAAAGAGTCTAGCTTTGCATAGTAAGAGAAGAAATATGGTTGATGTTGACAATGGTTGAAGGAATCTATTCCATTTAAGAAGAAATATGTTTTTAAGTTAAATCAATAAATGAGAAGAAACTTTTTAGTGGACAAATATAAATGATTAACAATATGTAGATACATAAGTAAGTGGCAAAGCGAAGCGCGAATCTAACAAGATGTCATTGTCTAGTCTACTCGATAAATTGCTACATCACACTGATGTACCGTGAATAAACTCGTTATGTACATACAATTTTGCAGTGTTATTTATAGTGCACACAGATTATGAAGTTATCCTATTAGTAGGGGTACCAGGAGTTCAGAATTTGGATGGAGATTAATTTCCTAAATTTCTTCTAGAGCTGATCCAATGATGTTTTTTTTATTAGGTTCACCAACATTTGTATAGGCAGAAAGCAAGATCTTATGAGCTAGTTGATAGAATTATCAAATACATAAACATATTATATGAATGTTAAGTATATAAAACATGTAGATAAATATGATAAACTAGTTTCCGATATAAAAAGTTTGATTACCTAGTCTAAAGAAAGAATTTGGAACCTTGCTAATTATAATGAAAAACCCAACACGTAGGTAGATTAAATAATAAGTATTAGTCCATAAATAAAAATTCCTTACATTTCTAACTAGGTAAATATGGTATGAAATGTACCTGTAGCAATGTCTGGTTGGTTCACGAAAAATTTCTCACAAGTGATAAGCATGGTTCATTGATAACACACAAAAGCTTCTATCTTCCCGATTATCTGTTCTCCGGGGCCCGGGGTGACACACATACAGACCCTGGGTAAATATTCTTGGGAATGATAAACTGGAATCTATTATTAGAATTATGAATATTGAGTATGATAGTAAGTGACTGCCTTGTTAGTAGATACTACGCCATAAATTGTATAAAGTCTAGTCTTTTGATCTGGGTAATAATGAATAAAAAAAATAATCATTTATTTATTTTTTATCTTCGGTGGTTTATTCCCGTTACAATTTGTCGGGATGACCCGACTAGTTTCAAGTCATACTAGGGGCTCATATTCATGCGCAACTTGGCTATAAATACAAGGCGGCTAAAGCTGAGACTGCACAACGTCAAAAATAAAACTGTCCCACCAAAGTATCTCCACATTCTCAGTGCGCATAGACAACAGAACTAGGAATTGTGATTAATGATCGTTGGTAATAGAGTAAGTAGTATTGAGTTGCTATAAACCATTTCCTAAATAATACAAGTGGATATTACAAATGAACACCCCTACTTAACCAAACTAAAAAAAAGGTATCATCATCATCATCATCATCATCAGCCTATAAGTGCCCACTGCTGGCCTCTTCTCACCCAAAGAATGTTTGAAAATTATTCACCAGCTAGCGCTCAAGGCGGATTGGTGATTTCAAAGTCCTAATTACAAATTACAGGTGTAGGTTTTCTCACGATGTTTTCATTCGCAGTTTGTCAAAGGTGTTTTAGTATAGAATAAAAGATATGATGATAATTATAATACTTATTTTATTAAAAGTCAAAAAGCAATCAAAAATATTCCAAAACAATTGTTCAGTTCGAAAAAAAAAACAATAGATCGCCATTGCTTGAAAGAACAATAAAATTATAAGTAGAATACTTCAATTATATTCAGAACTCGAAATAATAGAATATAATAATATAATAGATATGACAGAGCATCCTCCCATTCTTCCAAGGAGTAAATAAAAGTGTTTAAAATGAAGTCATTTTTTATACATCCCAATAAACCTCCCAGTTTTTCTTTTAAATTAAAAAGTCAAACAATTAGGTACATTTAATTAGGCCATGATTAGGCATCAAACAAAGGTTTGAAAACAAACTAACGAACTGTGTTGGTCTGTGCTCTAGTAAAGCTATTTGCTCGTTCCAAAATGTAGATTCCTATGGAGAAGAACGAGTCAGAAACTCTATGTTACTCTTTTCAAATAGTTTCATAATCCTATGGTGATATACTTATTCCAAATCTGAATCGTTCGATTGCCATAAAACGGGGAGTTTTCAGTTCTAAATTACAGACTAAGCGCCTGTTCCACCACCTTCGAATAAGTTCCCGATATACCTATGTGACTCATAGTTCATACAAATCATGTTCTTTATTCCAATTTTATGTGGTACATAGTGGCTATTCAGATATTGTGAAACAGGTCATAAGTACTAAAAAATATATTTATTTAAGCCTTTTTTTTAATTAATTTCGGATGTAGACAAACAGAAGCAGACAACTATTCTGTACATTTATCACAAAGAAACGTTTATAAACAAAAATATTTCATAGCAAACATTAACGCAACTTTCAAGGTAAGGAACACAATCCTTTCTAGTTCTAAGTTCTAAAAGTTGCTGCAAGTGTGTAGTGGTGTACACCATCAAACCAGTAATAACTCGTAACATTCCATCAAATACGACGCACGCACTATCAAAGAAAATTAATTCCATTCATTCAATTCAAAATAAAAAATAACAAAGCAATAACGTGAACGTGCTTCAAAAATAAATTAAAAAACATAATCACATGTTTACCTCGAACGAATGTCCCTTAGATCCGGATAGTGTGACCACTAATGAGAGAAAACAACTCCACACAAGCACAACACTAAGTTTACTAACACAAAAAAAGTTTGTTTATCACACTTTTCGAAAACAGGGCGTGGAACGGCGTGTTATTTCGTAAGTCTATTTAGCGGGAAAACGCGTGCGATGCGAGGCGCGCGCGCGAGCCGACTGACTCTACCACCGGCCACTGGCGAACAAGACGCACCGAGATAATCATTGCATTCTGCCATCGGTATTAGAAAACGAATAAATCGCATAGATACGGTGTATTTGCTAATGCTGTGCTGTCCGACTGAATGCACTTGGCAAATACAGGAGGTCGGTCTGAAAGCAATATACAAGAAACAATTTACAGTTCTTTTAAAATTACATCAAAACTCAAATAAATCATAAAGTTAATTGCAGCTTCCACAGGCTCGGCTTGTTCCACTTTTAGAACAGACATTTAATATAATTATGGTTATGTAGACGATGCACTTACTGCATTCTCAACAGCAAACTTGGTCATGAACGACGACCGTACGTGATATTCTACACTTAATTATGAAAAAGTTAATAAAGGCACGTTTATTTCCACACTACTTATATAGCGGTTGCAAGACACCATAATATTCAAATATTCAATACCAAATTCAATACCAAAATATTCAATTCGAACTGTCCTGTCCTGTAACCTCAACAGGACGCTGAATAAATGGAATAACATTTTATTTGTATTTATTTACTATAATTTCAGAACAAACAATAGCGTTCCTGTCGCTTCTAATTTTTCACTAAGGGATGGTGTTCCCCAAGGACCTTAATTAGGCCCATCTGTTTTTAGGTTTTTTAATTTTTTCTTGAACATAAAACTAGAGGTCCTAGAACATTTTGGACGAACTTTTACTTCAACTCCAGTCCTGTCCTGTAACTTCAACAGGACGCTTAATAAACAGAATGACACTTCCAAGTAACGCCGTTAAGCTGGAGATTTAAGTTGTATTTGCTATAATTCCAGAACAAACAATAGCGTTCCAGTTTCTTCTAATTTTTCACTAAGGGATGGTGTTCCTCAAGGACCTTATTTGGGTCCAACCATTTTTAGGTCTTTTCAAATTCTTTTTAAGCATAAAACTAGAGGTCCTAATACCACATTCTAAATTATTTTCCATTACCAGGGTCAAAAAACGTATATAAAAACCGGTACACTTAATTGAATACGTTGCTAACAAAACCTATTCAAATGATCGCATTTTATGTGTTTTTGTATAAACCAAGAATAGTTGATTCAATAATACAACAACAGGTATCATCAACTCATTTAATCACAATCCATTTTGTTTACACTATTTGTACAATTATAAGTTTAAAATAAAATAAATTATGAGGCTGGGTCAAGTTTAGCTAAAAGATTATTTAACATCATCATCCAGATTTAAGAAAAACAACTAGTAAATGTTCTTCACAAAATATTACAGGATACATACAACCAAATAAATCATTAAAATAATTTAAAACTAGATGGAAATAATTTAATCAAGCACATTATACAAAGAATTCTGATTTTATAAACATACAATGTTAATACTTGGTAACTGTGATTTCTATGTAAAACAATGCTATGTATAAATAATTGTAAAATAAGGGACATTCATTAAACATGGATAGACAAATGTAACTTTATAATAAAATATTACTTTCTAATTGTGATTTTTTAGTACTAACCTATTATGTAATTCCAGGTTTAAATTCGTATAAAAATACATTTTCAAAATGGTGTTTATTAATCTAACATTTTAGCACTTTATTATCATTCGATTCAATAATACATTATTAGAAATACATAAATATTTTCCAATTTCATAATAGCAAAAATACAATAAGCCAAATAGGGCTTCATTTTCAATTTTACATAATTTTGTCACTACATTCAAAATCCATTAAGAGACTCACAAATTACTCAATATACAAATAATAAAAATACATATAAAATTGTATATTAGTAGCAAAATATTTTATACATATAATCTGCCAATAATATTCCATAAGGCAACACTGTTAGGTTAGATATTAATACACTTTTGATTGGGTTAGTTAGATTTTGATCTTTAATTTGCTACGCTAGGATTTATCCAGTGTCATTTACAAATACAAAATTCATATATACAACCACGGGATATACAATATACAGATCATATTAGAATTGTGCCGGTATCACGTTGTAGAATGGCCGGTGGTTTACAGAGCCACTGCGCTTACCTACCGTCCAGTCAAAATTCATTGTGTATACCTGAACTGTTTAAAATAAAGAAAAAGGTTTAAGACACACTTATGTGGCCTGTCGATTCGCGACAAAACACAGCGATACGCAATACGACACAATAATATATTACGGCATTAATTCAACTGCATACGCTACTACATATATAAAAATGCGTGTATTGATCAAAATATGAATAGTTTTAAAAAAGTTTTCATATAAAAGAACTGTATATAAAATAGGTGGCACTATACTGCTATCCCAAAAGGAGGAAGGTATTACTTTAAAATGCTATTTACCTTGCTAATGCTTTTTAAACTTTATTGTATTTGCGCTGTTACACTGCAAAAATAGTCCTTATTACAACGTCATATAGATTTCAAATAAAATTATGTGAAACGCTTTGATTTACTACCTTAACAATTTTAGTGAATTTTCGTATACATTTCTAAGTAATAAAATGTCTAAGAATTATTCCAAAGATTCACATCTCAGATCTTGATACATATCTCAAAGCTGTATAAATATAATGAAAAATATAAATAAATAAAAAAACTTATCAAATTATGTAATAACAGGCGTCATGTGTTTGTACTTTCATTAGTATTAAATAGTAGGTCGCAACCTCAATCGAGATTTCGAAACGATTATTACATCTCTAAGTTATTATTCGATTGTTTATAGAACTAAAAAAAGTAAAGAAGTACAGCCAGCAGAATTATTTGGTTTACTGAAATTGATTCAATACCACATCTATTGATTGGGGGCCTGCTAATGCTGATGCGCAGCTGGAGTTTTGACTCTGCGGCAATAACGCAACGCAATGGTCAATGGAGCTCGAAGCAGGAATTATAGGGTAACTCTCCAAAAAACTTTACTTTTATTTTACAAATCATTTTCCTCCCGGTGTTGTTAAGCATCTTATAGTAACTTATTATTCAATATTTTTAATCCATTGCTTATAGGTAGGGGTGCGATTTAATTTCATAAATCATTAGTAGTATTTGTGTTTGAGTCTGCAGAATCGTGTATTTTGGTTTGAGGATAATGACATCATTCATTTTTGTTAAATTGATGTGGAGAATCTTCTTAGAACTGGTCAGTAAAAGTCTTAAAGTATGATTTTCCTCCTTCACAAAAACCTTGATTCAGCACAAAGTCGGTTACCAAATAAGTTGGCTGGCTGCACATGTCCATTAATAAAACTGATGATTAGTAAGAGAAGACGGGAGATTTACGGAGTCATTACGTTATTATAACACCATAGGTGCTTATATAAACTAGTTCACTATAAATTAACCTAAAGGTGTAATGAAATGCTAATGCAAATTTGATTTAAATTACATCAGAACATTTTCTTTTTTTCTATAATAAATTGTAAAAAAATATAAGACTCAATGATGACTTTCGTTCTAACAGTTATTAATGTAGTTAAAATATCTATTGAAGGGACATTTATTTGCCGAGAAGACATGAATCGTCAGAGGCGCCATCTACGATGAACAAATGCTCAAGTCTCCAACGGAACATAATTTAAAACTCGCAGAGTTCAGACGCGATATAATGGAATGATTCGACGTTAAATATTAAAATACACAATAAAACTATAAACTAAACACACTGGATGTCACTAAGTAATATAATTAAACTAATTTACGTATAAAATGTACAACAAACCTTTGGTTGATTACTGGTAAAATTTCCAATGTACTAAAATCTCTTGAAGGGTGCTCACTCTAGACTCGCTGAGTATTATGAGTAGGGAATAAATTACACGGGAGTTTATTAGAACCTTCAGATCTGAATTAAATATTTTTTAGTCAAATAGTTCACTGGTTTTCGTAATTTCAGGGTCTGGTAAGTTTTTTTACTTAAGATATTTAATTTCAATGCCAAAGTCTTTTCGCCTTTGGCCAAAATTGTATATGGAACAAATATTGATATTTTCTTCTTTCAATTACGTGTTTTTTTCATTACGTAGTTTGCAATTCGGGTCTACTCGATATTTTAAAACGTCAGAGAGAAGATTTCAATGTGCCAAATGGTCGTTAGCATAACGATAGTAGCATTACGTCAATGTCATTATTTAATGTTTAAAAACCTATTTGAATTCTTCTTTGACTCTCTAAGAAAAATATTTTTAAAGACACGTTTCTCAAAATTCACCCTAGATAGTTCTCGTGCGTTCTGTAACTAACGATATCTCTTTCAAACATCAAGTTATGAATTATTTTCCAGGAAACGTATTCCGAATCAAGAGACGACAAATCTGTTGAGTGTCTTCCTAACAGGCGTATAAGAGCTCCACGTAAATATGGATAGTAGAGGCGTGGTGTAGGGGCTAGGAGTAGAAGGTGAGTACGGCGGCGTGGTTCCCGCGCACGAGGAGCGTGCGGTCTGCGGCGGTGGCGAGGGCGTGCAGCCAGGCCACGTAGAGCGCGGGCGGCACCACGGCGCGCCGCCGCGGCATGGGCAGCGTCACGCAGACGAGGCGCGCGCCGCCCGACTGCGCCGCGATCAGCTCGCGCAGCCGCAGGTGGCGCCACGTGCGGTCCTGCGCCGCCACCAGGTCCGCCTCCGTTATACCCGCTGCCGGTACAAAGGATTCATTACTTACTGATATACCGGTTCCTCTATTCACTTAGAAGAATGGGAAAGTTTCCATATTTCGGTGGCGAATGTAAAAACATCTTGATGACTCCGGGTCATCATTTGACTTTTTCAGAGTTATGAGTACTTTCTATGATTATTTAGACATGACATACAGTGAAGGAAAAAATCAATAATCCGCCTTGAACAAGCGTGGTGATTAATACTTCTCCGTGTGAAAAAAGGCCTTTCCTGAAAAGTTGGCACTTAAAGGCTGTTGATGTGTGTATGATATGGTGCGAATGTGCCGACCTGAATGGAATGATACCACAATCTCACAAAAATCCAGTTTAGCATTGTG